AGAGACAAATTCAGATATACATTTATTTCTTCCTTTCAAAACAAGTCAAACAATAGGATCAAGATGATAAAATAAAAAAAAGAAATAAAAAGAAGTAATAGTATTGTTTGATGAACAAATAAAACCTCTAACATAAATGAAAGCATTATTAACATACAAATCTAGTAGCTTTGATTTGTCCAATGAAAATATATTTACAAAAATATGTACATGGGCAAATCCAGAGAAAAATCTGGGTAAAGGGCAAATGCGAATGTACAAGAATATATCCTAATATAAAATAACACCAAGCATACTACACCTACAGCCACTGCCAACTATCAATTCAGATTATGAAAGAATTAATTTTGTAATGTCTTTGACTAGATACACTGTTTTGGCGCCAACTGCTTGCCCCAGTGGTTTCATGGACAGCCGCAAGGTTGCTGATCTCCTTCTGAAGGCCATCCAGCTCGACACAAATGAATACCGAATGGGATACACAAAGGTAAGTAATAAATATAAATTATCATTTTTCATATACAGTGAAATTCGAGCTGTGAGACTCGGGTAAAGAGCACTATTTACATTCTAAAATATTATTATTATCATCATCATCATCATTATTATCATTTATTATTGAAATCAATTGAATTTTGACAACTACAAACACTGTAAACAGAAGTGCCTGGAGAAGTACTTTACTGTGACTGTGATCCGTGACAGCGTATAAACGATTAGGTATAACTGTTTCCCCGTAGTTTGGTAGAGAAACCAAATGTCTATGGTGTTAAACCTGATAGGGACACAGTACGTTTTTCTAAAGAAAAAAAAAAAATTCTGTATGCAGGTTTTCTTCCGTGCTGGTTGTCTTGCTGAACTTGAAGACATGCGTGATGAACGCCTCTCCAAGATTGTCTCTATGTTGCAAGCCCAGTGCCGTGGGTTCCTTATGCGCAAGGAATACAAAAAGATGCTGGATCAGAGGTAGGAAAATTTGTCATTATCAGTCAACACTTAGAACAAACTTATAAAAACATGACATAACACCGTTTTGTAGAATAATGGAAAGTTTGATAGAATTGAAAGAATGATAATGTTCACAATTGAAAGACCTTGTTGTACAACAACAGAAAGGTCTACTGAATAATCTCAGATAAGAAATTATAATACATACTTCAAAAACCAAAAGTCCACTGACTAATCTCAGATGAAGATAGTATAATACTTACTCCAAGTATGGAAATTCACGCCATCGTGTCAGGATTCAATATTTCAACATTAATTATGTCATCATGAGGAATGAAAAATTATCCGTATTCGCAAGATTATAGTGTGTATCTAACCAATGTGTCTAACCAATCAAAATATTGCCTCTAGTATGTGACATAGCTATGAATAAACTAAAGATCAAAGCATTTTTACTCTACTGACCAAAGTTACCAACAAATGAATGTTATTGTACTACAATACTTATCTTACAAATGAAGCTTTTTTTTTTTTTTGAAATAATATATACTGTTGGTTTACTACTGTCTTCACTTTTTAGGTGATTAAATCAAGTAGTTATATATTAACTATTGATTTTTCTATGTCACTTCTAAGTTGTTGATTATGTTATTGTGTTTGTTTGGTATTAATATATATTAAATGAAATAAATGTCATAAATTCTTCCACAGAATTGGTCTAAGTACACTGCAGCGTAACATCCGTAAATATTTGGTGCTAAGAAACTGGCACTGGTGGAGACTCTACACTAAGGTAAGGAACAACTACTTTCATGAGGGAGAAACAAACAATTGTGAATAACAAAAAGGGGAAAGCTCTGGGGGAAGAGGGAATAGCAAGAGAAGAATGGTAAATAGAAACTGACTGTTAAAGGGTAGAGATCCATAAAGGGAACAAAAAAAGACATGAAGTAAAAGCTAAACAAATTTTCATGTGTGGAGATTTCATAAGCAGATAAAGTAATGGGTAAAAAATAAAGCAGATGATGAAAAAAAAAATGGAAACGAATAATGGAATAAGAGATGGTCCAACATAATGTGTGGTACCATTCCCTTTAAAGAAGGATTAAGGATAGACAAGGAAAGGGTCTGACACATGCATAGAACAGACCAGGAATTGATGAGTAATAAGCCAGTGATGCATGTCAGGTTATAGTACTGACGCTAAGGCCGTGTCTAATTTTATTGGAAAAAAACATGTAAAATACCTGATGACATCATATCATGACCATATATAGGAACATCATATATATAACATGTTATACATATATAACAGTTTTTTTCAAAGAAAATTTGATAGTCTTGATTGAATTTAAGGAATAACTGTAACACTTTTCAAAAAAATATGTGTTTTGTTGAGACCATCTAATTTATGTATTTTTGTTCTCTTGCCATAACAGGTCAAGCCATTGCTCAACGTTGCCCGTGCTGAGGATGAGATGAAGGCCAAGGAGGAGGAGTTGCAGAAGTTCAAGGAGAAGGCAGAGAAAGAAGAAAAGGAAAGAATTGTACTTGAAGAAAAGAACTCCCAGCTTCTCAAGGAGAAGAATGACCTTATGCTCCAGCTTCAAAACGTATGCAAGTTTTTGCTTAAAAATCATTTTAAAGCCAACGTAGCTTTTGATAAATTATATCAAAATCCTACAGCAAATTAGTTTAAAATTGGGTGAGGAGAAGAAAAATTTTCTGTGAGGAATTTGTGCCGCCACTGTTTATATTGAATCAATAAAGAATGATTGAAACCAAGAGACCTCCAACTAAGCAGTGGCTCCAGAAAATTGCCGACAATTGGTGCGACACGTCCAACGTGGAGGGGTGTCCAATCCATGTGGCTGACGAGAGCCCAGGTCATGGTCCAGGTATAAAAAAAATCCCTGGCAAGGTTCACTGGGAAAGTTTTTATGGCTTAGTATGGTCCAAGCTTTTACGCCAGGGATTGGCAATCAAAATAACGGTATTTGGATAGACAAATTATTATTTCTATTTTTTTAATCTAAAGAACCCCCCCCCCCCCCCCCCCCAACTCTTTCATTCCACTGGCCATTGCCCCAACTTACATTGTTGACACAATTCACACTGATAGCAAGATATTTCAAGATGACTTTTCTTTTTCTTTTCAATCCTAGGAACAAGATGTTGGTGGAGAATTTGAAGAAACTGTCAACAAGCTGAATGCAGTCAAGCTTGCACTTGAAACCAGAATCCAGGTATATTTTATTATATATTTTATTTCTTTATTTCTGTTAATTATTTATTTTATTTATTTTTTTTAATTTGCAAATTTCTAGAGCATAGAGACCTATGTATTCTGCGCTTTACAAATCCAAATTATTATTATTATTATTATTATTATTTATTTCTATTAATATTTATTTGTAAAATATGTTTTAATGAGAGTCCCGAGGAAGACCAAAAATGTTGTAAAATATTTATTGCAGTTACATTATATACAACATTCATAGGATCCAGTTGGTTCTGTTTTCATGAAATTTAAATTCTTGCATCTATGTAGGAAATGCAAGACCGCATTGAGGAGGAAGAGGACAACAATGCTGACATCAGTGCTGCCAAACACAAGCTGGAGAACGAATGCTCTGAGCTCAAGAAGGACATCGATGACCTTGAGATCACTCTGGCTAAGGTACTAGTGGACTAATCCACCCAAGGTTTCTGCCAACCATAAAAAATATGCCAACTCTGAACAAAGCTTTTAACATTTGAATACATGGGTTCTTATGTCTTTATTGACACGTTTTCTTCATGTCTGCAAATGTTCAGAGCTATTTGGGTTGTACACAAGATGCTGTTTATGTGTTGGATGAGCCTAGGCTAGCATGATGTGATTTGAGGTGCTTAGCAACCAGGTCCCAATAAATGCAAAATTATAATTACAATTGGTTTTCGAAAGTTCTTCCTTTCGATACGCAAAACTAATAATCGAGAAACAAAATCAATTTTAGTCTTCCGTTATTGAAAATAATTTTGGTATTTTTTTATTTTAGAGAAATTACGAACTTTTTTTGCTATTAATAATTCACTGGAAAATATATTTAATGATTTCCTTTGGCTAATCTTTTCTTTGTAGTGTTTGGCTGTCTTTACTTACCTCTCACTTGTTTTTTCAATATCAGTCACTTCTCTTTTACTATTTTTATGTCTTTTATCTATGCATTCTTTATCATCTCTCACTTCACTTCTTTTTTATCTACACACTCTTCATTCATTTTCTTCATTTATTCTGTGATCTATATTTTCTTTTTTCTCTCACTTCTCTTGTTTTTTACCCCCTTTTCTTTTACTATGCTCAGAACTTAACACGTTCCCAATAAGTATAAATGAAAACAAATTTTGAATAAATCTTCCAAATTCAAGGCAAACAAAATTTCTTTCAAATCGGTTTCTTAAAATAATGGTAGCATATTTTTACACTAGTCTCAAACAAATTCTTATTATGATTGGATGTTATTGTCCTAATCCAGTTCATACATACAGTAACATCCAATCAGCATTAGGAATTGATATGAAGACTTGTGTAACCATAGTAATTGCTTAAAATGATATAATCTAGTCAGAAGAGGGCACTGACCTTGCCAAAGCATCTTATTTCCAAGGGATTAGATCATTAGTATCACAGCTTGGTTTTCTCCAAAAATAAACAAGTTTTTTCCTATTATTAACTATATTAAATGTTAATTTAAGTGTACAGTGCATCAAAAACGGTGAATATAGGTTAAACATTATTTGATGGAAAAAGTTAAATGTACTAGAAAAATATTTATTACAGTTATTATTTTTGTACATTCCAAATTCCAAACAAAAAGTAAAATTTTATCCTCACATAAGCACCAGTTGTACAGAATACAACATTTGTTTGGCTTAGTTGTCTTAAATTTAGTGAAATTTTGACTCAATTTGGTTTTGGTGTAATTTTAACTAAATAATTATATACAAAAGTATAATACAAACATGGCTTTACTTACATACAATGTGCTTGTAAAAAGTAACAGTTTGTTTTGTCTTAATATTTTAAAACTTTGTTGTGAGTCTATACTATCAAAGCTATATGATAGTTGTTAAGTAGATTCACAGATTGCTTCTAACCCGATTTGCTATGTTACAACCGTTATGATTGGTTGCTACTGGGGTTTCAATGGGCATGCTCGCTGAGGTTTTGAGACTGTAGTCTGTGACTGGTTGCTACTGGGGTTCAGTTGGCATGCTCGCTGAGATATTGAGGCTTTGGTTTTAAGGTGGAAGATGAGAAGAAGGCCAGAGAGGCTCAGATTAAAACTTTGAACGAGGACTTGGCTGCCCAGGATGAGGCCATTGCCAAACTTGGCAAGGAAAAACAAGCTCTTGATGAAAAGAACAGGGTAAAATTATTTCTTACAAATATTTCTATATATTTATTAAATACATTATAGTAATTTACTTTTATTATCGATTTATTACTTTTCTTTATTTTGTAAGTCATTATAATTTCTGAAGTTAATTCATCATGCTTATAATTTAATATAACATCATACTTAAATACTGTGCTTGTAGCTAGAATTAATTACTCCGTCTTAGCTCATGATTATAAAATATTACACATTTTTTAACCAGTTTTTTTTAATTGTTATTTAGAGAACTGAAGAAGCACTTCAGGCTGAAGAGGACAAATGCAACCACCTCAACCACCTCAAAGTTAAACTGGAATCAAGCATTGATGAGGTAAATACATTATAGAGGAATGTCCTAAGGCCAACTCAGACAGTGTTTTTTCTGACACAACCCGATGCAATTTGTTGTCGCGTCAGTCCTGTGCGAGTTAAACGCAGACACGATGGTTTGCATCGGGGATGTCATAAAATATTAAACATGATTAATATTTCTCACAACTGCTCAAGAATTTGTTTGAGGCTTAAGTCCCTGATGCAGCGGGCTGTGTCGTACAATGTTATTTGAGTTGGCCTTTAAACTTGATGTTTGCATTGAATATGTCATATGAATTTTGCTAAGGTATTGATTTACTTAGGATTTACTTAGAGGGCATACAAGAATGTGTTTCAAACATGCAGTGTCCTTCAAATCAAAGATTTATAATGAATGTTCTTTTTGTAGATTTTATACACTAGAATTTATACATATATTTTATAAATTGAAATATAATCAAATACGCGATCTTTAGCTCTTTGATTTTTAACAGTTGTATCTTGTTCCCTGTTATGAATTCAATGTTATTAAATTATATTAAATTGTAGGCTTGGTGCAAATCTCTGTAATTATTATTGCATGTTGTCTAACAAATTGCTGCCCTCTATAGCTTGACTTTCTCATTTCTTTCCACAAATAGCTTGAGGATAATCTAGAGCATGAGAAGAAGGCCCGTGGTGATGTAGAGAAGGTTAAGCGCAAACTTGAGGGTGACCTGAAGATGACCCAAGAGACTGTTGAAGAGCTTGAACGTGCCAAGTCGGGTCTCCAAGATAACCTTAAAAAGTAAGTCAAAAACAATTGTTGTTTAAATTTTGTGCGTTAGTATGTTGCCACCTTAAATATACTTGTGTTGCAGTGACGCTGCCCGTAATCCTGTCTACAATGCTATCCTTTAGTATTGTAAATTTAATGTGCTGGCAATGTACACAGTACAAAAGGTATTTGGCTAAAAGTTCGGCAAAGACCAATATCTATATCTAGTAAATAATAGTAAACTTAAAAAACATTGATTATTTTTGTTTCTCAAATATTTCTACTTTCAACAATGGTATCCGTACATAGTGATTATCTTTTATATTCATAGCGATACAATTGTAAAATGTAAAGTACTAATATCATAATACGGAGATTTCGATTTGCGCGATGGCACAATGCTAGAATGATTCACTTATGTGTGACCGTCCTGCATTTTCTGCACAACATAGATT